CGGTGCATGCTGGGATAGTTGTCAGAACGCTGGTTTGTTAATAAAGTTTGACTGATCCATCTACCTACCCACCATCTAGAATCAGGTCATCTGTAGGTCATTTAGCACCACGTTCTCCACGAACATGCTATGCACGAACGGAGAAGGGTGACCATCGTCCGGCCACGCCCCGGCCCAGTCGCGGAAGGCTCTCCTCGCAGACCGGAGTCGGACTGTTTTGATATTCCCTGTAGTGCAGCTCCATCTAGTGGATGCATAACTTAACTCCAGCCTCTACTGCAGCGTCTATTCTATGCGCCTTATAATGCGGTGCGCCTTATATATGAAAAAGTTTTAAAATAGGCCATTCATTGAAGGTGCGCCTTATAATCCGGTGCGCCTTATAGTGCAGAAAATACGGTACCTTGAATTGAAGTCTCCATGCAACAATGGCAAATATGACGTCATTTTGACTAGTCAGAATGTAATTATTAGAGATAGAGAAATAGGTATTTTGTCTAGTTAGAGACAAATATAGTTGGAGATTTCTTAATTTAACTCTTGTCATAAACCAATTTGAAATATCTGGAACGTAAGGGCGATAAAACCAAAGTTATGTTAAAACGGCCTGCCGTACTGTCGGTGGTTGCTTCGTTCAGGTTGATGTTGCTACTGCAAACTCGGGTGTGCCTTTCACGTCACACCCGAAAGGCAGAATCAGCACGAGCCATGAGTTGAAAGTGCTAATAACTTGAGAAGATTGTAGAAGAGGGAAAAATGTGGGTTGGCAAACGGCTATTTGCAAAAGAAGCTGACGATATAATTTTTAAATAATATTTGTTGAAATACAAGAAATGAAAGGGACATACTTAGAAATATTTATTTTGGAACACTATGTGCCCTACTAACAGAAGTGTAAATAATAGTTAATTACGTGTTCATTACATTTATGTAGGAGTCATACCAGCCTCTACAACATCTAGTGTGGTAGATTAAATGGTAATGAAAAAAAAAAAAAACAGCTTATAAAAGGATTGTTCACATTTTTATCAAAAATGCTAACTTTTTTTTTTTTTTTCCAAAAATTCAAAGTAACTAAACAGTTTGGCGGTTGACAAAAAGCCAAACCGCCAACTTCCAGTTACCGCCAATGGGTGACTACTGTTCCAACATTATATTCTTTTAAAAATATTAAAATATCAACAAAAATTATATTCCATGATACCTTCCATAACCTTAAATCATTATCTGACTCAAAGATTGCATACTAATAGCATTTATTATAATGCTCATATGGGAGCATTATAATAAATGCTCCCACACAATCCATTGATTATTCTGGAGCATTATAATAAATGCTCCCATATGAGCATTTATTATAATCTAAAAGTATCTGCTGCTCCCGTTTGTCTACAATAATTGCAATAAATTGTTGCATGTATGTTAACTTTTGAGCTGTTTTCAATTGTTCATTTCATCTTCTCTCCACAGCTGTTATATTGAAAAGCAAAGCTGATGTTCTGTGTATTTTTTGTGTTGTATTTTTTGTTTCCTCTTTTACTCGGTTAAAAAGAGGCTTTTAATCTCAATGAATGTTTATTTTGATAAAATAAAGGTTAAATAAAAAAAATAGAATCCAAATCTGACAGCCTTGTCTTTTTGTAGCACAGGATGGGCTGGTGGTCCAGCTCAACTGCACTGGTGGGAGAGGCGGGAAGCTGAATGTGAGTGCAGTGTTCCATCTAGAACCCAGCTACCCTTCCTGTCCTCCTCATATTTCTATCTCCTCCACCGGCCTGTCTAAGATTCAGTGTCACAACATCAGGCAGAAGCTGATGGCTCGAGCTGCAGAACTTCCCCTAGAACCAATGCTGCTCCAGCTGGTGGAATACTTGCAGGTAAAGGCTCATAAAAATAAATAATATCTGAATGTTTTTAGCGATGGTGTCCAGATGTATTGTGGTCACAGCAGGAATGTGTGGAACAGACAGAGGACCAGACAGGAGAACAGGACGGGACAGGGGAAGAGAAAGACAACCAGCAGGAGTGGACTGCGGTTCTGCTGCTTGACCACATCAGATCTCAAAACCGATATATCAGACTCCTGGAGCGCTGGAGCCAGCAGCTGCAGCTCACCTGTAGACTTTTACTAGGACACAATCCATTGATTATTCTGCTGGGGGAAAGACCCAACATCAAGGTACATGTGTTTTTTTTCCTGAATCGACTTTAAATGTAGACTGACCATGCCAGGGGGAGAAAATTAAACTTATGCTTTGAATTTCTGAAGGAATTCTAGATCATTTGAGTAGCCAGGTGCTGATATTCAGCATTTTGAAGTGAGACCCTTTCTAAAAGAGCCAAAGTGTTGAGAGATTGCAGATCTGGAGCTGTGTGAGCAGTAAGGCCTACTTACTGCTCACACAGTAACAATTGTTTTCTAACAACTGTTATTAGAAAAGGTAGTAAATAATTTAGGGAAACCTGGGTGGAAAAAAAACAAAACATAAAGTTATTAGCCGGGTACTGAGCTGAGTCAGCCGGTTAAATAATGTGGTTCATGTTGGTACTGTTGTGGGGAGAAAAAAAACAAGTATGGCTTCTTTAGAATAGCTGAGAGAGAAATAAAATTTGGGAGAAGTCCCAAAGAAATATTTGTAAAGTTTCATCTGAACAAAGAAAAAGTGTCTCAAACAATGTCCTTCAAAGAATACAGACAAAAGTAGAGATGTCTATGACAGCACCATGTTTGAAGAAGATCATGTCAAGGAAGGCAGTGAAGTGCTGAACTACAGAATCTGAGAACTGGAAGTTTTTAATATATTAAATGATCTTAAAAACTAATCTGCAGATGAGGCAGAAAAAAAAATATTTTTGTACTCGTTTAAAGGTGACATCTTTTCCCCCATGTCAGTATCCACTCTGACTGTAAAAACTTTTCTTCAGGAGTTTTGTCACCGTTTAAGGACTGTTAAGGTAGATGTGGACTCTTCAGGTAAGAAATGCAAAGAGAGGATGATGAAAGTTCTTGCAGAGACCCCATATTCCTCCCTCTGTCAACATAGGTATGCATCATAAACCTGCAACAGAGAAATTCAGACATTTTGGGACTCTGTGTTGGATGTCTCAGTAATATTTACACTTCTCTCATGGCCTTCCTTTCTCTCAGCCTCCAGGGATTTGTAGTGAAGGACTACAAGTCACTATCAGAGCTGACTGCTGTCTTTGAGGAGCTGAACCTGGCTGAGCTTTACCAACAGATGCTGCCTACATTAAGCGGCTAGGAGAAGAACTGTCATATCTGCTCCTTATGTCTGTTTATATTGGATTCATAGACCTACATCTAATATTTGCTTTGTATTTAAGCTGTTCATTTTGTATCAATAAATTTGTATTGCTTTAAACTTCTGTCCTACCTTTTGTCCTGCTTATGTGGTCTCTGTTACATTCAAAGACATTATCATTAAATTGGAATTAGAACATCCCTGCTCTTCAAACCTCTATCATTTTGAATGTGTTCTGTCTGATACTGTAGAAGTTAGAATTGTTGTCTGAGTGTTATTGAAACGCCCAGTAGATTTACCTTCACAAGTGGAGTTTTATATAATTATAAAAAAGTTCATTAGAAATAGCCTTGAGCTCATTTCAAATGCAATGGACATGAAAAGAAAGGACTGGTCCTTGGTGGGTTACAAGTCTGGGTTTGGTGATTGCCAAGAGAATGGTACTTGTCTGACTGCATTGTGCCAAGTGTAACGTTTAGTGGAGGGAGGATTATGGTGTGTGGTTGTTTTTCAGGAGCTGGGCTTGGCCCATTAGTTCCAGTGAAAGGAACTCTGAACGTTTCAGCATACCAAGACATTTTGGACAATTCCATGCTCCCAACTTTGTGGGAACAGTTTGGAGCTGACCCCTTCCTCTTCCAACATGACTGTGCACCACAGCACAAAGCAAAGTCCATAAAGTCATGGATGGAGAGTCTGGTGTGAATTAACTTGACTGCCTGCACAGAGTCATGACCTCAACCCAATAGAACACATTTGGGATGAATTACAGTGGAGACTAAGAGTCAGGCCTTCTCGTCCAACATCAGTATGTGACCTCACAAATGTACTTCTGGAAGAATGGTCAAAAATCCCCATAGACTCCTAAACCTTATTCACAACCTTCCCAGAAGAGTCGAAGCTGTTCTAGATGGAACGGGTGAACCAACGTCATATTGAACCACATGGATTAGAATGAGATGTCACTTAAACTCATATGTGAGTCAAGACAGGTGAGCAAATACTTTTGGCAATGTAGTGTATCTGTCCCATACATATTATATCTTAAGGTACCCATATTATTAAGATCTAGTGTGAAAACTGCTGTTGGTGAACCATGTTCACTGTGTGAAAAGGCTATACTCCTGAACTCAGCTGTATGTCTCTATCCTATTTCATATGAACTTTCTGTTCAGGTAAAACCAGTAGTGCCAAAAAAATCTTTTTTTTTTTTCTTTTTTTTTACAAGAGTTCTGTCATATTTCATATATTCCTTTTGTCTTATTTTGCTTGAATTGTTTTATTTTCCTTTCATGTCTATTTTTTTTTTTTCAAAACTTTCTTGTTAAAGCTGTTTTTATATTGTTACACTGCTGGTGGAAATTTCATTTCCCAGTTGAAATGTCCTTAGGGATTAATTGAGTTCTATCTAACCTAATCTAAGTTGTTCCACCCAGGAATGGTTAGGGGAAGTCGAGCCAGTGGTGGAGTCATTTTATGTGTCTGGTGTTACTGCAATTTGTCAGCACTAGAGGGAGTAGTAATACTATTTGTCCAGCTCCATCTAATCGTGGTTCAGTTGTATGAGGGGGAAACAGAAAACAGTTTTTGAACTGTTTATCAAGGTGAATGCACCTGTATCATCATATACAAGATCAATTTGACCTTCACTTATATATACATATATTTATATATATATTATTTCAGCTGACTGGAGTTGAAGAGAAGTGAATGGAAAACCACAGAAGTGCAGCGGGGGAGCAGAAAAACTGCAAGAAAAAAGACTAACTGGCCTCTAAGTGAATAACAACAAAATATGCCAAAATAGCCCACATGTTTGCCATCATAAGTCCAACTGTGACACCTGAACTGCCTGGAGCTTAACCCACTCAAGACTGGGGAGATAATGGTGTACTTCTGGAGAAAACCCCAGAGGATAGAGAAGAATGGTCCTTTACCACCCTCAACAATACTGTGAGGATTCTTTAAGGGTCCTTAGAACCTGCCACAGGAGCTGCTGCATCTTCTGCACAGCCATCTTTCAGTCAGTCCAGTGTTTGTCCATCACTGTGTGGTTTGACTCATCCACAGAACAGGACAGGTCACCAGGGCTGAGCTTCCCTCCACCCAGGACTTGTTCAGGTCAAGGATCAGGAAATGTGCACCTATTATCTTTGCAGACCCCACACATCCTGGACCCTATAGGACCTGCCAGGCAGAACAGACCAAACTAAGCAGGCAGACAGTATTAATAACAAGGAAAACTCCTACTTTAATCTGCCTGTGGATTTTGAAATTAATAACTGCACTGCTGATCTTTTTCTTGGGACTGTGTGTCACTGTAAGAATAGAAATAAAAACTGTTATGCTATTATAGGGAAATACCTGTAAATAAAATGAACATTTCAAATATTTGAAAAACTAAGAGTTTTTATGCACAGAAAAGAATTAATGCATCCAACAAAATATTTTCATATTTTGTTGGATAAGACAACAACAATAAGACTATTTCTGTAATATACCTCTTTACTCACAGTTTCTACAAGTGAGTAAAGAGGTTCCTTTTAATCCAGATACAGCAGCTCAGAGGAGGAAGTGAGTGCTCCACCTTTAGAGATCATGTTGCTTCTCTGTTGAATAATGTCGCCTACATACAGCGAACCAGAGGGACTGAAATAATACATAGTGCTGTCTCTGAGTGGTACTAGATTTCTGCCACTTGTCAGAACGGGTTTTTTTTTTTGTTCTAAAGTGATAAAGAACAGCTTTGCTGTTATACTAATGTACAGTAAATGTGCTAGGTAGGTTGAATTGTTGAGTTATGCAAGGCTTTCAGCTCTCTATAATGGTACAATACTCAGGAATGTTGTGTAACAGATTTGTTCCCCCTGCCTTTCAATGTGGACCCATAGATACTTTCACTGTCACTGGTCCATTTGCATCCATGCACTTTAACCTTCCCTTGCAGTATTGCAGTGATTAATTCACCTCTTCAGTAAAGAGAGTTAGTGAGAGTTTTTGTCTCTTTTTTTCAGACTTTTTGATTATATTAAGCGTGCTATTTTTCACCAGTTCAAATTTGAAACTGGGAATTCTGTTTTAGCCTTTGCATGTTTTTTGCCTAATAAAAAGAATCCAACCCTTACACAATGGATATTCTAGTTCTGGAACATAAAATAAACAACAAAGTCATGTTTTGATGCTGCTTAAGTTAGTTGTGTGTGAGCAATAAAATGATTTTACATCTGCCTTACCTGGGCTGCTGGTGAAGCTCAGAAGGTGTCAGTCATATTGAACATCACAACCTCGTCTTGTTCCTGTCAGTCAGGAAGGCTGTAAAAATGTCCTGAACTGCCCTGTTCCCTGGTTTATAATTTAATCTTCAATTATAGAAACAAAAAATATATATTTTTGATTTTTTTTAAGGGTAAAACAATACTCTATGAACAACAGTGCAAATTTCAAAGTGATGTTAAAAAATAAAACCTATGGGGCCCTGAATGGTGTAACAGCAGGGCGGTGTCTGTTTATCCGGGGTTTCAATCAGTTGTAGTTTTTCCCTTTCTCTTTGCTTGTTTTCTAATTGCTGTCAATATTAGCATCTAATGCCACAAAATAATATGTTTATCATTATTGTTATAATCTGTTGATTTCAAATAGACAGGAAAATGTATTTGTTTACCAGCATTTTGTTAGTACAATATCTAGAAGCAGGACATGGACATTGAAATGTTTCTTTTCACCTGAAGTTCTATTGAAACTTTAGGGTCAATTTTTCTTGAAATAGCCAAATAAATGAGACTTGACTGCTGACTGGCTGTTGTTTGGTGTCCTAAGGCATCATGCTGCTGCTTTTCTAGTTTCTAGTTGTTTAACCAAATGATTAGTTGACCAAATGATTGTGGAAAAGTTTAACAGAAACATAAGTCATATGAAACTATTAATAAGAGGAGCGCTTTTAATTTTGTCAAACAGTATGTTTTAAATGTGTGTGTTTGAGTGTTTGACGTGTGTGAATGCATGCCTGTCAGCATGTGGGTAGTGGTGTGTTTGATTTTAGGATCTTATGAATAAAAAAATAAAGTGAGTCCTCCAAACATATGGCTCTTTATTTAACTGCAAACAAATATTATGACAATAAATCAAAAGAAATATCTATTAACAATCAACAGTTGTTGCTCTCTCATTTTTTAAACAAATCAATGTAAAGAAAAGAATAGCTTCTCAATCTAACCTGTTGAATTTAAATACAAAATACAAACATTTGTGATACAGAGCAAAACTGCTGAACTACCAGAACAACACACGTTCTTGTTTTTTGTTCAAAAAGGAACAGTCATGAAATGTTCCTATTTAATACAGTAAATGTTTGACTTCCTTGAGAGAGTTTACTCCATTCAGAGAATATACAGTTCAATAACAATTTTGTTCAACCGTTCTGTTATTTATAGTGTAAGTGGGGTCAATAATGACTGCTATTTTCCCCGTATTTATTATCAGTGTTTGACTCATTCACAGTACATGCTTCCAGGTTCCAGACCAGCGCCTGGCTGTGGGTTTTACACTCAGTCATCTTCCTCCGAAACACAAACAATATGAGAGCAACAGCTCTGCTAACAACAGCCCCGAGATCACATTTCTTTACAAGCAAGCCACAGAAACTGAGAAGGTTTTTAAGTCTTCAGCAATTTTTCTAGATTTTTTTTCTCTCTCAATTTTATTGTTCCACAGTCACACTTTACCGCTGTTCATCATAAAGTAAATAAACTTTTGCATTTCCTCAGGCCCTTAGTGACCCTGCTGAGCCCCTTTAATACTGCATATCCCTTAGAAAACAGAAACGGGATGTTGCACACTTCTGAGAAGGGAAGAGAATCTTTGGTCAATATTGGCAGCATAAAACAGAACTGGAAAGATCAATCAGAGAATAGTAAATATGTTCACACTCACAACACTAGAACTTTTAAATAATGGTGCTTACTGAAGTAATTTTCTGATAAATTAAGCGCCATAAATAAATCCATAATATTCAGCTTCAGCTTCCTGATTCCGCCATCACAGGGAGAACAAAAGGGAAAATGTTTCTGTGGTCTGAATTGGAACATCAGGGTTAAAGAAAACAGAACAAGATCAGTTCCACTTTACAACAGGACGACATACATTAATGTAGACGATTCTTTACACACACACTGATTGTACTTTAATGAGTAAACACTGACAGGAATGTCGTTTCGTTTTAC